TGACAAGACACCAAATTATGTAACACCAAATTGTGTAAAGTATATACTTGAACCATTAAACAAGTATCACTTAAGCTCATAAATTAACATACATGATGCTACAAAGTTTGAGCAAGGAAACGAACCATCAAAAGTGAGCATATGTCATATTCCAATCAATATGTAAGACCAACCAACAACATTCATGAATGCATAAGACTTGCCATCTGTTTAACCCAATAATCCATGGTACTAGATATTTGACCCCCACGAGTAAATCATGTGACAACGGGTTCTTTGAGTTCAAAAACACTTTATGTTGCAAACATTGACTTGGTTTAGTCCCCAGAGGTCACAAAAACCTCATGGTAGAGACAACCAAACTTTTCTCCAAAATGGATAACCTAGAGACCAACCAAACCCCAAACATTGGAGTAATCCATAGAAGAGCTGTTTTGGGCATACATAATAACAATTTTGGTATGTATAAAGCTTTAGTAATGTAGAATGAACTCACTTTGGTGGATTTCTAGACAAAACCTACAAAACCAAGGTCTCTAGATGAGAAGGTTAGTTCGGAACTTGATCCAATCTTGAATCCCTAGCTTTAAAGGAGAATTGGAAGAAAAATGGGAACCCTAGCTTTAAAAGCGGGCTTTAAAACCCTTAGATGTTTTCCCGCACAAAAGTCGATTACACCTAATTAGAGAGCCAAACAGTGAGTCCCACGGGTAAAACCATGTAAGCCATTGTTTTGTCTCTCCTTTGGCTTAAATGGTCCATTTAACACCCAAGTCTTCAATCTACAAAATCTACTCTTAAATATGAAGTTTTCACTTACAAAAGTCATAAATAAAAGTTGTGTTTATCGATTTTCACATGCATTTGTAACTACCTAAAGTATTAAGGTTTGTAGGTACCTACATACCTTTAGGTACTTTTTTTATTCATCTTATCCGTTTATTGTCTTCATTAACGACCAAATTAAAAAGTCTACCATTTTTCAAACTACAAGGACCAAATTTGTAATTTACTCAAAATTATTTTACAAGTCTCTTGAAAACCAGATGCCGACGTTGAAAACCATATGCCATCGCCTCCTTTCCCCTCTGACGTGATTCCCTACCGGCGATCCTGATAGGTGTTAAGTTATTAACCCTAAAATACCACTTTTACAATTTTTGTAGATCCTTTTATTTGCCAACTTGACCATTTGAGTCTTCTTAAGTCTTTGATTTTACACTTTTTAAGTTGAATATAAGTTTTAAGTATTTTGTAGGATTTTTGCTCTAATAGGGCCTTAAAGCCATATTGCTTAACTTTGTTTTTTTTCCCCATTCATTTGTAATGTTCATTTCATCAACAACGTCATCCTCTTCTAATAAGTCAATACCGTCAATGTGTAAGCCTAAAAGTTCACTAATGGATTCATGGTTATTGGTATAACCCCGTCTTTCACCTCAAGTTACATACATCTAGCGTCTAGAGTATAAACTATACAGTACCCTAGCTTCGAAGGGACACCATCAATGGTCATTTCCAGTAACGATCCCAACCCCATGTCTTGGACAGCCTTTCTCTGAGATTTGTTCAGCGTTATGATGGTTTCATGTAGAGTTCTAGGCCATGTTCGTGTCCCAACGGTATCATATCTTGGCTTTTTGCTATCTGATCCATCAGAATACTTTCGACTATTCTTCCTTTTTTCATCATGTGAACCTATTATGAAATTTAATATTAGAGAAGGTAACATATAATACAAAAGACATTATAAAATTATTTTGCATCGGTTATTACGTACGTATCTTTACCTAAGAGCAATAAACAGTCAATGAGGTTATGTGAACAGTATTCCATGAAGTTACTTTACCTCAATTGATGATTGCCACTTCAATTTTTTTTTTTGAAGTATATAATATTTATATACGGCAAATGAAACAAATAAACTCACACACCCTTCTCACCTTTGGTGAGGTTTGAACATCTGACCTCTTAGGAGGCCAAAGACTACGATACCATTAGGCTAGAAGCCTTTTGGTGTCAATTCAAAATATTGATCGTAATAAATTTGAAATCTTGGTATTCAACAACCAAATTGAACCATGATGCATCAATGTTTGTTATGAAATTCATATGAAACTCTATTCACTGTGTCTATCAATATGAAATCAAAAGGAAGAATGTGCATTTAAATACACAACAACTTTAACTCAACATGAAACATCAACCAATTGGTACCATGATGCATCAATGGTTGTTATCAAATGCATATGAAACATTATTCACTGTGTCTACCTATATGAATCAAATGAAAAATGTGCATTTAAATACACAAAATAAAATTTTCGCTATTTTTATTTGACATGGGTTCATTCATCGATAGGTATGTTTCTACTCCTAAATGATCAACCAAATAAAGAAGCATTATATGTTTTAAATCGTAAATCCAACTTTTGTAATGTAATAGACACCGGAAGTAATTGAGTCAAACAATTGGTGAATATACCTTGCATGTGTGTGTTTATATATGCATACACCTCTAAAAAATAAAAACCGTAAAACATTCTGATAACCATTCATATTTGACGGTATGCACATGTTCATATAGGTAATTGAAGTTTTTTCTTGGTTTTATGCACATGTGTATACCAGACAAATAGTTTGTATCTACATGTGCATATTATCTCATGAACAATTATCAGGTCCTTAATTTTTTAATTTTTTGTGGTTTTTCCCTAAACCCAACCCTATATATATACACACACACATATGTGCATATCATCCCAATAAACAGTTTCGATGAATGTAAGGATGTTACTTTATATATATATATATGTGGAGGTTCAAACGAAAACCCCTGTGATTTACGAGAACGCAAGAACAATCCAATAACCTCAAACTTTTTTAATTAATAAATTAACTTAAATTAAATATAAATAAATAAATAATGACAATAATGTAATTAAGTAATTTTTATAATTTTTATTTTATTTTAATTAATTATAATTATCCTTTTTTTTCTGCACGTTCGTTTTCACTCTCTTCTCTTCCATTGTGATAATTATATGATTGTATAATCATAACCTATCGAAACTATGATCAATCGAGTGTAACCATAATCTATCGAAACCATGAGTAATCGTTGTGATAAATGTATGATTGTCTAACCTTAACCAATCGAAACCATAATCAAATTGAGTGCGCAAGTGATGTTATAATAGTGATATCACATGATTATCACACTCATATCACATCAAATCGTTTAGTGGATTTCGTCCGCAATCATTGTGATAAATGTGTGTGTGCGCATATCATCCCAATACCAGATAAATAGTTTGTATGTATATGTTCTTTAATTTTTCAATTTTTTGCAAGTTTTTCCCTAGACCTGAGATCTGGTGATGGTGGTGGGAGTTAGATGCAATCTGCTGCGCGGAGTGTGGTTGAGAGACAAAAAGGTGAGGGGGAGAAAGATGGACCCGGCGGCGATGGAGGTTGGTGGTGAGCGCCGACGGGTTTAGAGGGGGTCGCCGGTGAGGTATCATGCCGGAGGGGAAGGGAGGCGATGGCATCTACCTAGATTTCAACGTTGGCATCTGGTTTCAAGAGACTTATAACATAACTTTGAATAAATTACAGATTTGGTTCTTGTGGTTTGAAAAAATGGTCAAAAATAAATTTTTTTTTTCATAAAAAGACCAATTTGGATTTGGTCCTTGTGGTTTGAAAAAAAAAAGGAAAAGTCTAAAAAAAAATTCAATGGACTTTAGTGTTTGAAATGATTAAGTTATTGGACATCTTGGAATAAATAAATCTTTGGACATTTCAAAACTCGTTAAATAACTCATTGTACTTTCTAAAACCTGTTAAATACATTCTTATGACCTATACAACTGGTTATTCTGGTAAAATAATGAAAAAAGTTTGAAAAAAAGCCAATGAACTTTTATATTTTTAACGATTAAATCTTTAAACATGTTTTGAACCAAAAGAGTACTTAGATTTATAAAAATAAACAAATATACCAAAAAATTACTTACATTTACGAAAAATACTTATATTTAAAAAATTATTGATAAAATATATTCTCTCAGTGATTTTTTAAATTTAAAAAATAAAAAAATATTTAAAAATATTACTGATTAAATTTATTTTAATTAAAAATAAAATATATTTTATTTTTAAATAAAATAAATTTTATCAGTAATCTTTTTTGAATCTTTTTTTTAATTTGAGATATCATATACGAAATATATTTATATTTTATTTTTAATTAAAATAAATTTCATCATTAATCTTTTAAATATAACCAATAATATTTTTTAATTTTATATTTTAATTTGGAAAATCACTGATAAAATATTTTTTATTTTTAATCAAAATATATTTCATCAATAATATTTTCTAAATATAGGTACTTTTTTGATATATTTGTTTTATTTTTTATATGTAAGTATTTTTTTGGTTCAAAAAACCTTTAGAGACTTGGATCGCTGAAAATATGAAAGTTCATTGGGTTTTTTTTCCAAGTTTTCCCCTTATTTATCACGCTAATCAGTTTTATAGGTCATAAGAATGTATCTAACAAGGTTTAAAAAGTCCAAGAATTTATTTAACAGGTTTTGAAATGTCCAATGACTTATTTGTTTCAAAAAATTATCCAAGAACTTAATCATTTCAAACACTAAAGTCCATTGAATTTATTTAGACTTCTTTCTTGAAAAAATGGTAAAAATAATTTTTTTTTTTAATAAGGACCAATTTACCTTCATAATTAATGAAGATAGATAGTAGACGTTAGGAGGAAAAACCAAATCAAGACAAATTGTAAAAAAGGAGAGTTCTCTTTTGTAATAAATGCAGATAAAAGATCAATTTTGTCAAAAATGACAAACTTTGAGGACCAAATCCATAATTTACTCTAAAATATGTTAATAACATATTAACATAATTAATAATTAATAGTAATAATCAGCTGGAGCTTGATATAACTTTACGCAGAGATTTTAGCTTTTAGTTCTCTATTTTACAAAAACTATAAATTATCTGTTGAAAATGTTGTAACGGCACCTTTTGAAACGTCCCAACGTACCATCCTACGACATCCTGGAAACGTTTCATAAGGTACCGAATCAACGATATGCTCTTATTTTCGCTATACCTGCTACAATGGATACAATATCAATTATACATCTTCAAGTTCCATACCATTTCTTCATGTCTTTTGAAACAAATCTTGAAGGGTTTCAACTTTAGCTTCATCTTCTTCAATGTCCTCATTTTGGGGTACATGTCTCATGGTATCCGACAGATATTCTGACATCCGGAAAGAAAGTTCTTGACCCCGCAAACGATCCGTGTTTCCGAAAATGCCCTTGTCGTGATCGTTGGAATCGCGGTTATCATCCATCTGATTCAGCGTGCCGGTGGAAGACGATTGCGATAAAGTCCCTGAAGCGACCGTAATCGCTTCATCGCCTTCGTCAATGGTCGATCCCAGAGAACATGTTGATCTTGTGGCAACTGAGTGAAGCGTTTTCGATCTTTCTTTTACTCGTTTGCACCAACTGTGAAGAGAATCCCGAACGCTTTCTGCAATCAGAGCTTTCTTACACCGAGAACCCATCTGAGAAAAGTTATCACAAAATGTCGGGTTGATTGTTTTTGTTTCGGATTAAAAGCGTAAACAGAAGTTTTAGAGCGACAAACAAGCGAATGATCACTATAACAAAATGAGTCTTTTAGGATGCCAAACCGTCCTAATAGAGTGCTTAATGAGATTCTAAGTTTACAGGACCAAGAACTATGCGTCCCATCTAAAGACGTGGTAGAACTTATGAAACAGTGTCAAAAGTGTCCTGGTAGAACTTGTTAAGTTGCATAACTTCGTCTTAACAAATTATTGTAACGTTTCAGATAGAATGTTCTACGTTCTTGGTCCTATAAACTTAAAGTCCCATTAAGTACTCTATTACGAGCTTGGGGTCCTAAAAAGATCTTGGTATTGATCGGTTGTGCAGCATGAACCTGTGTGACGATGACATTCAGAGGCACGGTGCTATAGCTACACCAAAACTGAACAAGAACCCTGCGATCAGAATCAAAGATATGAATCGTGCGTCCGCTTTATTTGATAAAAAACAACGAAATGAGACCCAAAAAATACCAAATTGACATGTTATAAATCTCTTAATCAAAGATGACATGTTTTAGAAAACCAGGATCGTACATTTGAGAACCTTAAATATTTTAAGAACGATAATCAATGAATATTCATTATGAATGAATATTCATTGGTTATCGTTCTCAAAATATTTATGGTTCTCAAATGAATCCAGCCCCAGAACAAAATATGTCATCTTTGGCCTAAGATCTCCCGATTTCCGAAGAAAAAACGTACCCACAAGTCAGCCTAATAACTATCATCGCATGGTTCTTCATGAAACAATCCCGCTGTTTGAATCCCCACTGCACACATCAAGACGATGGTGTCATAGAACGTCTCACGAGCAGTACAAAAATGGCGAAATTTCATAAAATGTTGATAAATGACGGGGATTTTACTTACCACAGACCAGATGAATGTTGCCATCTCAAAGGCATTCTGCAGATGGAAATTAGTTACAATGTTATAACCAGAATCACAGAAATTAATTACCATCTATGTGCCAAAAATGTTCGGGTTTGACTTCCGTGAGTCAAATGAATGCTTTTCAACTTCAAAATTGTAAACAATCGTAGGTCTACATACATTCCACCCCTAGACCATACCTCCGTGTGGGACATACAGGGATTAGAAAAAAAACCAACCAAACCATCCCAATATGTCCCACTCGGAATTAGGGTCTGAGAGGGGTAAGATGTACAAAAACCTTAAGTCAACCACTAGGAGCGAGAGGTTTTTTCCATGAAGACCTCTGGCTCGTGGTGCTTAACGGAATCATTAGTGTAATTCTTTCATTAGACTATGTGCCAAATTAAACGTCCCATTGAAGAAATGATCGTATACTTATCCATGGAAAATAATGAAAATTTCACCTGAAACGAGATAAACTGTATCAACCGCAACAATATTTCGGGTTTACCGAACCAGAAAAGCTCGTCGCGTGGCTTCACTTGCGTTCCTCCGACGGACGGCCCCCTTGGCTCCACTATTTCAAGTGCTAACAAGGAGACCACATGCTGAAGTTTTGTCCCGACCAACAATGCTAGCTTTCAACCAAAAAATGTGAACATTTTTAACGAGAACACTAAAGTACCAGATCGAAAGGTCATTTACAAGGGAATGTATCAACTTACGATGGCAGGGACAAAAGAAATCCAGAAGTAAACGTTAAGACCTGCAAATACACCCAAAGTATCAAAAACAGCTCGGGAATTATGTAATTTGATTTGGCATGCAATGAAAAACAGTTACCGTGAATGTTTACGAAGATGCACAGTATGGCATAAGCCCAAAGCAGCCAGCTGCAAGACGGATACGAACCTCATCACTTAAGAATCGGAATTAGCTATAAAATCCTCGTTTAGAGTCATTTAAACAGACATCTAAGAGCTATTAGGGTGCGTTTGGTATGCGGACAGGACTGGACATGATTGGATGGACAAGAGTGAGGTTGGCAGGTGAAAGAATTGAGAAAGGTTTTAAGAGTTTTAATTTAACATGGGTAGTTTAGTAATTTATAACTCTTGTCTCCTCTCCATGAGTTTAGTTCCACCTAGTTTGGTGGGACAAAAAAATGCATTTTGTTTCACTCAGTCCCGTCTTCCGGTCTTGTCCCAAACGTGGTATAACAAGCTTTTGTTCTGTTCTGTACTGTCCTACGTACCAAATGCACCCTAAGTGCCCCTTAGGCCCGTTTAACCGGCTGAGTGGGAGTTATGCGTCCTCTACCGCTTCAATAGCAACTAATTGTTGAGTTTAAAGAGTTTGAAATCGAGATGAGACATACCTGATTCCCACGATCTCATAGAATTCATCTTCCATGCTTCGGACCATATAATTGTGGAAATTATAAGAAAACGGCAAGTTGTGAGTCTGAAATCACAACACACCAAGATAGTAAGTCAAACAACAAAAACAAACCAAGCTAAGCCATATGAACTCGGTATATCCCATCCAGGGGCGGGGTCTCGGGGATGTATGCAGACCAGTCCTCTACCCCAAAAAGTAGAGTGACTGTTTCCATGAAGTCAAATAACAAACAACGGAGCAAAAAAGACGTATGCTTGTCTACATTTGTATCATAGAAATCCAGAGCAAGAACGAAATGTAGTTGTGAATTCGAAGAGATATAAAGAAGCTAGAAGACAAAGTCAAATACCCACGGTGATGAAACCCAACCGCAAAGCCAAGTAATCCGACTTCTCCATTGGACTTTTGAATTGTCGTAGAAAGCAAAGCTACAAGAAGACACTTTTATCACTGTAGCCCATCAAAGGGTCATTGGCCCAGCAATACCCGGATTTGCCATATATAAATATTATATGCTTCACGAAAAACCACGTAGCAAAGTCTCAGTAATCCGTACCATCCAAATGAGAATCCGGCTCCTGCTCCATGGATGAGATGCGTGATGTTGAATGAAAGTAGTTTGGCGCCTCATGATCTTGGTCTTCCTTGCTACAAAGGCGACGAATAAGTAAATGGCTATTGTCTCTGTAACTTATTCGTTCAAGTCATTTAACGTTTTCATTTTGTGGGTCCCATTTATATGGTGTCACACATAATAAGAAGCCTTATTAGTTGATGTGGAGAGAAATGAACTAACTAAATCAAACCAAACGAACCCAATATATCCTATTTGAAAGTATGGGCTGGGGATGAGATGTATGCAGACCTTTCCTTTACCGAAAGGGTAGCGTGAATGATTCCGTGAGAATTGAAGAGAACAGAGGAAATGGTATAGAACGTTAAGTTTTAATTCTCCTTACTACTTTATGTGGCCCATTAGACTATGATCTCGACGACTTGACAACATTTAGGAGATTAACTACGGTTTCTCGGGGCAACTTGGTTTATCTCGTGTTAAATGCTTAACACCATGCCATCTAGCTCCTGTATTGGTGCATACCTTGCAAGTTTTCAGCTGCCAAGAGGCTTGCTTGGTATTCCCATTTCCTCCAGCTGTATATCTGCAAATACATGCACCAAAACGTCAACTTAAGTTCGTTGAATAGCACCCAACGGACGTAGCCTAAGGTCCTCGAACATTATTAGGTGGGAGAAAAGTTCAAATGAGAACCATACATATTTTGAGAACCTCAGAACCAACTATTTCATGTATTATTCATTATGAATAATCATGAATATCATGCATTTTATAATGTCAGTATGAATAAAACATGAATAGTAGGTGACTTGAACCTGCCCCTATTAGGTGATCCTCAAAGATTTGATAGGTGAGTTTAGTAGAGCAAGCAGAGAGTATAACGCCACCCTCTTGAGAGCCCTCACTGCACCGGTCCCACAACTGTCATGGGGACGTATATCGTGCGTGCCAGGGGTAGCTGAGTGGTGCATGGAGCCGAACCCCATCCCTCCCACTCATTCTACAAGAATGCTCACCTCCTTACCCGCTAGGCTAAATCCACAGAAACTATGCAAATAGAGAGTAGATTTGTTGAGTGGGAAGTGTGCATGTACCTTGATCATCGCCAAACCGACAGACACACAACTATAGAGAACATGAGTGATCCCGAGAACAAACAAGAAACGGTGAAGCTGCTCAAGACCTTCATAAGAAACAAAAGGTTCTCGTCCCTGAAAACACAAATCAATATATGTTCACTAATTTACCATCATAACAATGAAGAAATCAGGAGAAGGTTCAAGCACCAAGCCAAAATGAATTCAAGAGGCAAAGGTTTTTTTACCTCACCACACTGATGATGAGGGTGAACATTAAGCCCTTCGGGAGGTATATCAGTCTCATTTGAAAAAGACGATAATCTTGAGAAAACAGTAAACTTTCCCATCTCGAAATCTTCTTTGGAGCAAAGGAAGAATTTACTGCTGAATAGCGAGGAATCGACACAGATCTGTGAAATCACCCTTGCCCATTGTCCCAATAATAAAGATATGAGTCCAAGAAGCATAAGCTCTGTACCAAAATCAAGTGTCGAAATTAGTGATCCTTGATCATTTCCCATTTTTGATGCAAAAATCTTCGATACTATAACCTATTATTACATTATAGGATTCATCCAACTAGATGTAACTTTTTCATAATGCTATGGCAGTTAAAGGGTCGAGAAACTTTTGGTCAACCTAACCATCGTTACGAAAGATCTGCTCTACGAAACATTACATCAAATGCAACTCAAACCAACACGAACAACAATAGTAAATTTACCAAGGTTCATATGTAGTTATGGATACTGGTTTGACTCTTTAGAGTACAGGACAGATCTGTATGCATCCCACCTCCCAGACTCCACCTCCACGTGGGATATACTGGGTTCGTTTGATTTGGTTTGGTTTGACTCGGAAAAGACAAGTGAGTGATCTTGAGTCTTGATCCAAAAATGACTACTTTTCTAGGTGGGGTTGTAACTTTTTGTCATGGAAATGGTGACCCTGGTGCATCAACCTCCTTGTCTTTCAGAGGGTTGTAAGTAATGAAATCTTATTTACTAAAAAGATTAGAAATAATCAAGTTCATTATAAAGAACAAATAGGCATAAAAACTGAACTGAAAAACGTAACTTTTTGAGCACAAAATTGTCACAAACCTTCTTTGATCTTCTCTAAAGAAGCCAACAGAGCCTTCCTCCTTGTCTTCTTCAACCACTGCATACCACAAAAACACATAAATCATTCAAATCTTCAACCAAAAAGATTCAGAAACAAATGGGAAGAAGAAAAAGAAACACAAAACTTGCCCTCCCAAATCTGTAAATCGATCTTTGAACCAACAAACAAGCAAAAACCATGAAAGTGATGGTTGTTGCAACAGCCCATGTTGGTGTTTCAGCCAAAGATCTCCCTTCTCTAATCAAAGTTTCCTCCATTGTTAACTTTCCCACATCAAACTGAAGCTTTTTTTCTCACTCTCCCAAGAAAGTTTGAGAGTATTTAGGAATTAGGAAGTGGGGGTCTCCCAAAATGCTGCGCATTTTGTGCCTCGATGTGGGTATTATTTAAATCATAAGAAATTAATCTTGGAATCTTTTCACAGAGAAGGAAGGTGATCTCATAAACACACACACACACACACTCTCTCTCTCTCTAGAATTGCATTTGCTGTACATAAATTATGGAAGGTTTAGGCTGTATATGTGTTTGGTGGGGTGTAATTTGGGGGTTTAATAATGTGGAAAAATACAACTCAATTCCAAATGCATTGGAAGCGATGAGCTCACATCTGCTTTTGTTCCTTGAAACCCTACCTGCCCACATGCCATCAACCTTCCATGGATCGAAAGAACAGTCTATATTTATTGGATTACGATTGGAACTGATTTTGATATATATATATATATATATATATATATACACACACACATTCAAATCCTACAAAGCGTAATGACGTTTTCTTTAACTTGTATATGTGCATGCGGGTCAAAAATCGAGGGCTTCAATCACATCTTCTCTCTTGGCTGGAACTGGAAAGTTACCTGCTACGATCCACCCCTTTGATTCTGCTGTCTTTTACTTGTTTTGTTTAATTTTAAAAAGCAGAAAAAGCTAACTTTTGATAAAGAAAATCTTGATTTTCACTTCTACATATTTATTTAAGAGTAAATTACATCTTTAGTCCTTATAGTTTGGTGTTTTTAACGATCTTTTGTCCTTTTTTTTTTTGTGAAAATTCGATGAAATGTCAAATGTGTTATTGTGGTTACGGGTGTTCAAAAAGTCTAACCAATCCGATCAACTTAACCCGAAACAACCTAATCTTTAGTCGAGTTGTAAAATATTCAAAATGTAGGTATTGAATTGTTTTTATTTAAACCCAACCAACCTGATGAGCCTGATTTCTTTATTTGTTATATTTAATATGATTGTTGAGTCTCTATTAATATGTACATTAGACAATTGCATTATCACGTACCCTCTTCACACACATACATACACACACACATATATGATCTATTCTCCATTACCTTCCTGCAATAGCAATGAGAACCAACCGATGATAATTGGATATCCAACTGTGATTAGATCGGATCAAATTGAAATCTTCAACATCTAATTTGGATTGGTCGGTTATTGGATGGTAGTCAAGAACCGACCAAAATCGACCGAACCGAACCGAACCCACTAACATCCAATTAACCATCCGATTGTGATAATCGGTTTGGAAAGTTTGGGGTAGATCTTATAACGTGGTGAAAAGTTGAGGGGGTGTTTTGAGAATTGGTATTTTAAAAATGTATGTGTATGCATGGGTTATTTTTATTTTACTTCTTTTTGGAGAGATTAAATGGGATAAGAGAAAGATTTTGTGGTTCGTGGGTTCAAACAAATCAGAAGACGAGGAAGAAAACTACGTGATTTATTGTCGTTGTTTAAAGTCTTCAATCTACTTGTTATTTCATGGTGAGTTTCCTTTTAAAAGTTTTATCTGACGTGTTTCCAATATAGAACCGTATGGTTTTGAATGAGGTGTATTTGGACTTGATTATATGTTATGTGTTAGTATAAATTTTGGGGTTTTATATGATATTACCAACTGACTGAAATAAGAGTGACATAATCAAGAAATGTGCATATTAGGATAAGAGTGACATAATCAAGAGAAGTGTATATTAAGATAATGATAACATGATCAAGAGAAATGTAAGTAGGTTTCACTTAAAAAAAAAAAAAAAAAAGTCTAAAGACACCCCTAAACATTATCAATGGCACCTAACTCTTAAATAATTATTTGTTTTTTTTTGTTTTGTTATTCTTATCTTTTGTTTTTTTTTTCATATATATATATATAGGGCCAAGATCAAATGCTAACCATCATTTTTGTGTTAATCTTATTAACTGATCTTGGTCATCCAAATCTATAATCAACGGTTAAGATTAATCAATAAAAAAATTAAATTTAAAAGTTTGGATTTTAATGAGGCCTAGTGAACAATGATGAAAGGGGCATTTTGGGAAGAAAAAAATACACTTATCAAGGGTATTCTAGTAAATTGAATTCATTTGTAATCCCCAAACAATTAATGGGGAGTTACAAACAATCAAATCCCAAAAATATGCATTCATATTATTATTATTTTTTACTATTGATCTTTCATGTTCATTCTTGTATGAATTCTTAAATCACATAAGAAACACGGTAGTAACAATTTTCGGTATTGATCAATTTGAATACAAATGAACCGTGAACACAATTTGAACAAAAATGAACAACCGTGAACATAATTTGAATACAAATGAACCGTGAATACGATATGAACACGATATGTGCAAATTTTGGCCCATATATTCACATACATAGACGTCCCACAAAATTAAGGTAGCATATGTTAATTTGTGTTCATCTGTTAATTTGTTCAAATTGTGTTCACGGTTCATTTGTGTTCAAATGGTGTTCACGGTTGTTCATTTGTGTTCAAATTGTGTTCACGGTTCATTTGTGTTCATCTGTTAATTTGTCCAAATTGTGTTCACGGTTCATTTGTGTTTAAATTGTGTTCACGGTTCATTTGTGTTTAAATTGTGTTCACGGTT